GCTCGCCTGGCCGGCGCTCGCCAGGGTCGGGCAACTCGACGCCCGCCGGGTCGGTGTCCGGCTCGCCGTCGTCGTCGTTCTCGTCGCCCGCACCGGAGAACATGGGGTGCTGCTGGGGTGGTGCGTGCCGGTTCCCGCTGGGGGAGCACTCGGTGGGGGGAATCGGGCGGCACATTCGGGAGTTCCACTTCTACCCGGTGCTGGACGCGTGGAACGGACGGACGCGCGGAGCGTGCGAGTGGACCGCGGACGGGCTGCGATGCGGGATGGAGATGTTCTACGAGAACTTTGCGAAGCACGTCGCGACGGTGCACCTGCGCAGCACCGCGCTGTTCTGTCCGCGCTGCGAGAAAAAATTCTGCAGGAGCGACGCCCTCGATCGCCATGTGCGCGAGTCGTGCCAGTTCGCGGCAGAGTAGCATGCGCCTGTGCGCAAGATTGTGGTGGGGGAGTGGTTTCATATGTGCTCTAATTCCGGCATGGTCGAATACCCAGACAGTCTCCATACTTACTGCCAGCCGATCGCATTGTAATAGTGGTTATTTGCATTATAAACAACTTGTCAGATTATGCTTTCAGGCGACGACTTTTTGCGTCGCAAGGGCGTGCTTTGCAAGCATGAATGATCTCGACTTGGCAAGGGCTTTGTCAACTGCAAAGTTCGCTGAAGACCTCGGGGCTTCGCCGCTGCAGAGCGTGAGATTGCAAGCGCCGCGCGAGACGTTGGCGGTGAGGTCGCGCGGGGCGGAGAATGGACCGAAGTGCCGGGGAGGGGGAGATCTTGGATTAGTGAATATCAGGCGGTAGAACTCCGAGATGAGCGCATTCATTAGAATCTGATAGCGGAGCTGGGGAGATCTGGATGTGGGCGATGCTTGTTTGGATGCCGCCCGGGTGGGAGTGGCAAGGGCGCGGCCACAAGGGGGCGATCCGCGTCTGGCCGCGGAGTCGGCGACAGAAAATCCCGTCCGAATTCATCCAGGGGCGCGCGCGGAGGATGTAGCTGCGCGGGGGCGGCCTGCTCCCGCGAGCGGAGGTGGCGGCGAAGTCCCGAGGCGGCGCCTGAAAAGACTCGAAGCGCCCACCGGATGTCGGGAGCGCGAGCATTGCCGGTGGGCGAGGAGGGGGCGCGGGGCGTCGCTCGTCCCGACGGCGGGCGATCCAGTGATCCGCGATGCCGGAGATGGGCCGGCCACCCACTGCGAAATCAACGGACAAACACGATCGATAATGTGAATTCACTACGCCACTCACCGCCATCCTCCTCCTCCTCCTCTTCCTCCTCCTCCTCCTTCTCCACAACTGCCTCCGTTCGCGGACGCCGTGCGGCGAACAAACCGCCCGTGTAGAAGATATCGGAAGCCATCCCAGAATCTCGGCCGCAGAGAAACCCATTCAGATCTTCTCTCGGACGCACGCATGATCAACACTGAACCCTGCCCAGCACAGCGGACCGCCGGCACTGGCCAATCCAGAGGAATGCGACTGGGCGGGACGCTGGGTAGATTGGCGTAGATACGAGGGCACCCGGCGCTGAGCAATGTCAGGAGCGTGCGCCCAGTTGCACCGAAGTACGACCGCTGCGGACCGCGCTCCAGATTACACTGTCGTGTTTGCGGGGAACCCACACCATCACTGCCATCTGGCGCCCGGCGAGGGCACGAATCCCCGCACCTCCCCTCTCCATCCTCGGGCGGTGATCCTCCAGCCCAATCCCAGCCCTGCCATCTACCACCACTGCCAGCGCACGCTCCAAATTCTGCCGCGACATTCTGGCTGCCATCAGCATAGGGTCGCGCCTGTGTGAGAGTCATCCACATTTACCAGTCTTCGCGCTCCGCATCCAGCACATGCGCTCCAACTGCACACGAGACGACATGGTGGTGGCGTTCTGTTCGATGGGAGTCTAGGGCAAGATAGAGGACGCGGCCGCACGACGCCTGCACAAATCGCGTTGGCGCACGTGGTAGCAGATTACGTAAAGCACAGGTTTGGACTCCGCCTCGGTAAGTTCGAATGATCGTCCAAGACAAAGAGTGCGTAGTCCAGTCGTCCTACGACCCAAGGTTACAGGCGCGCACCGCGTCACGCTGCTCCTCGTATCCTGGAGAAATCTCGCCCTTGCACGCGCTTGTCTTCGCCATGTTGTGGAAAATACAACTGCCACCGTCACTGCAATATCACTGCGCTATCCAGCCTTCGCTTGCTGTCCCACCGCGGGTCCCAACACTTCCCGAGCGACATATCTTGCGAGCCTCGTGTCTTTACTTGTGTTCTCCGCGAAAATCGTACCGCGAATAATTTCCCGGTGGACATTCCACGGCCTGTACGTCGCGGCGTGAGGAACATCCCCAGCGCCTGATTGTCGACTCGTCAGGGCGCGCCGCTCACGAGCGTACGTGCGTCCGGGAGCGCACCTCGTCCACCTCTGATGCGTGTTTGATCTAGGTTTGCTCCAGCTCTGACGCGCATGCAGCGCGCGCTGCGGCATCTCGCGTTCTACATGATGCCAGACAGGCAATCTGCGGTAGGGGCATACTGTTCCCGGGATCCCTTGGACACTGGGAAACGTCTATGTGCGTCAGTAATCTCGTCATTCAATATGTCGTCCGTGTCCGCGTCGTCACCTGGCCATGCCTGACTTCGCATCAGGAGCCTCTGTTCGTCTTCGTCTGCCCGGAACATGCCAATTTTTTATCTTTCTCCGCACAGACTCCACGGCGCGTTCCAGGAGAAAGATACCGTGTCCATAGCGCGCGGTGCGCTCCGCTCTGCCTTGCCTCACCGCACACGTCTTGGCGCACGGCGTCGAACACATACACGGATAACGCATTCCAGCACGGTCGGTGTCTTCAAAGAGGTGCATCGGCGTTCCCGCACAGATCGCACAACGTACGATTTTGGTTGATGGAAGACCCCGTCTCGTGTCCTCACCGCCGCTTTCTCATTCCGTCCGCAAGGCTGCGCGCTCACGGGGAAAAGAAGCCTTTCCACTCACTCCCCTGGCGAGCCGGCCGGCACACCATCCCGCATCAGCCTTCCAGTCAACAAAAAACAGGGCCGCGTACTGGGCGTAACTGCACCCGACCGCTGCATTCCGCCTGAGCACATTGCGCAGATGCCCAAGTGTGCGCTGTCAGCACGGGAGGGTCACTATATTAGGACGTCAATAGAGCTACGAGAGCCATCACTGACGCTGTCAGGAGCCCGCCCGGGCGCCCAACCGTCGCGCCCGGTAGCTACGGCTGTGTGCCTTACTGGCCTGCCGGCGGTGGTGTGCGCGCGCAGCTATGGTGCTCGTTGTGTGTGCAGCGAATGATTATGACTGGGAGGGATGCTACCGCGCGCTGGTAGGACGGCCGGGCCAGCCTCTCTCCGCTCCTTCGCGCATTCCTCGGACAAGCACACAGGGCCGTGCGCTGGTTCCATTTATTCTTTGTAGTATACTCCGAGAAACGGAGCTCAGGGAGCGAGCAGAGGCCATGCCCTGGAAAGGGAACGAGAATCGCCCTCTGCATATCTGCGGCGGCGGAACGAGCCGCCTGCATATCTTGCACCCCTCGCCGGTCCTAGAAGCACCGCCCGCATGTCGCTATTTGCATTTTGGTGCATTTCTCGCTTCGTGCTATCCTGGCCGTGGCTCTGGGCGGGCCTGTGCAGCCAGGCCCCACCACCTGGAGAACTACTCTCCAGCTAGTGTGTCTGCAAGCAGACGAGCGGGCCTAGTCCAGTCCCGGTCATCCGTGCCTCCTCCCTCGCGGCCCTGCACGGATTTCCCGACGTTCGCCCGATTTAAACGCTATCCCCCGCCGTCTGGTGTCCAGGAAGTAAAGAATATATCCTCCTGGCTCGCCTTTCTATTCCAGGGTTTCTGCCTCGGTCCTCTTTGTGCCCGATTCTTTTGCGTCGTTTCGGTCTCGTGGGCTCCACGTCACATCATTTCTTCCCCATTTCGTGACATCGTGGTACCCGTCCTGCGTATTTTGTCCGCCAGGATTCGTCATTCCCCCGTTTTTTACTGGATAGCGCGACTCACCGCAGCATCTGTGGCGACGGCCAAGGCGAACTCTACTCGTTCTTCGTCGTCTTGTCCATCGCATTCGCATGCACCGCGGCCGGAGCATCGTCTTCTGGGCTGGCACGCATGTGCACGCGGCCACTCGCCCTCCGCACCGAAGACTCCTCCTTACCGGACGTTCTCAAGGGCTAAGCGAAGGGGGAAAGGAGAACAAAAGCGACTCGGAAGTGGCGCCGCTTTGGGAAGGAGAAGGGGAACGACTCGGCAGTGGCGTCCTCGCTATTTGCGCGAGGCTGTACGTAAAATGGGGGAGATGCAGAATCAAATGATGCAGTCAGTGTGCTACATAGAACCAGCGAGCCAAAGTCCGCAACCCGTTCCCACCCGAGTGTGGGTTTGTTCCCCCTTTGATTATGCATCCACTCTTCATCACCGTATCGCCATCTCCACCTCCGAAGGATCCAGTAACTCAGACCCATATCCTGTCTTTTGCGATTCGCGGGGGGGTTGAAAGTATCCCCCTGGTGCGTCTTGGCGCCATGCTCGCTTATCAACATCTCCTTCGACTGCCCGCATCATCTTTCCTATAGCATGTGAGATCTCTTCATTTTTTCCTGGCCGGTTTCCGTAATTTACGAACGACGGAGAGGACAACGAGGAGAAGAACGAGAGAAATGCAGGATCGGTAGCTTGCCTCTTCCCATCTGCCTTATCGTCCTGTTGGTCTGGCCATCGTGCAATGAACTCTTAGGTCCACTGCACTCCTGCATACCGACTATCCGTTCTCTCCCTTTATCGTGTACCAGGGCTCAGACCTATGACCCTAGCAAATCCATGATACGCGAGTCAATGTCATGGCAACGCATCGGGCTGTCGACACCCGTATTTTGCTGGCAAGTACCGTATCTCGCAGTACGGAGGGGATGTCACGCGTGGAAGTTGGGCGGATGGCCCTGGCCGACCCCAATGCTACTCATTGGCGAGGTCCTTTAATGCTCCAAACTCCCACTGGCCATGACCGAGTAGAGTTTTTGAGTTTTTCCGTGCGTAGCTTGTCCTTTATTGGCTTTTTTCATCTAATTTTATTATTACATTTTTGATGATTGCATTCCGTTCTTCCGCTCCTATTCCTGCATCAGCTGCGCTTAGCTCACCATTTCGTTTTTCCAGGCGAGAGGAGAGCCCATTTCTGTTGGACAGGCCCGAATGTTGCCAGATGTTGATTCCTTACATCCTGCGTGGCATGTGAGTCAAATCCCAATACCTTTTTCTAATTCGATAGCTTTATACCAGTATCTCGCAGTCTTGTCTCAATGCCGAATGCATTACAGCTAGTTTGAATCGTTGGACGACCCTCGGATGGAAAGAACGCCGAGTGGATATTTCCTGACTTTTCAGCGATTGTAGGTCAACCTCCCACTCGATCTCCAGCATGGGTTTGCAGGTGAAAGAGAGAAATCTTCGCCTCAACTTGTTCATTTTAACACTATTCAAACTTCCAGCGGTGGGCCCTGCAATGTACCTGAATAATTGTGGACGCGGGCGACTGGCTGGCTGACACTTCCTGATTCGCGGGCCAGCGTCCCTGCACAAGCGCCTGTTCTCAGAGACGCCGAAACTGACCAACGACATCAAATATCGTGGTTGCTATTGGACGGCATGCGCCAAAAGAAATTTCGGCAGTAGCCGGCTCTTGGTCATGTTACGTATGGTGTGCCAACGCTACCAGAATACCTCTGCACTTTATCGAGACTGCTTTTACTGGAGTGTAGAGAACATTCGATACAGGTACGTAGTCACAGTGCATATTGGCTCGGCATACATAATCACTAGCATCGAATTTCGCTGTCCTCTTGTCGGTATTCAAAGTATCTCTACTTGGAAACCTCGTCCAGCCGGAGGATTTCATGACCAAGGGCACCTCCGACAATCTCGGCCTCCCTTTCGCCGAGAACGATATGCGGTCGTTAAACCCCGCTCTTTGCACGATCTGGATGAGACCGTCGAACGTCGAACTCCTACTATGATGATGACGTCAATTGTCTTCTAGACTTCCACAATTCATAATGGGCCTCGAAGACCGCTGCCATCAGGAACATCCACGATACACGGTTAGGCTTCTCTGATACGGTTCAGCAAGTACAATCATAATGGCCTCAAGAGGGAGAAATAATTCAAATGCTGCTGCTACATCAGCTCCATAATGATCTCGGCACGTGCCCGAGTACCTTCAACCTTCTGCCCGCCTCTGTGGTCACTCGTCCGCATATGGACAGTTCTCGAGCATATGGCGCGTGAGCGTGTCCCCGCGTGCGAACCCGCGCCCACACCGCGGGCAACGCTGCGCGGTGCTACGAAGGTGCACCGCGGCGATATGCTTCCCGAAGCTCTCAAAGTTCATCTCCTGGGCGTCGCAGTGCGAACCCCACGCACACATTCCACGGCGCTTGTTGTCCCACTGGTTCGCGCCCGTGTTGAAGTGGAACGCCTTGAGGTGGCGCGTGAGCCCGGACGGCGAAAGGTCGTCTAACGCGATGCGGCACGTTCCGTTTCCCCAGAGGCAGGGCGTGTGAGTGCATTGTGTGGGTCTAAAAAGTGAAGTGAGGAAATTAGTATAAAAACGAGTGTTGTAAGCGAAAGCGATCCAAGGCTCACTCCGTGGCGACGATGAAATCGCGGGTATCAGCTTGAGTGTAAGCATGATCATTGTTGTGGGTATTAGTCTGGTTCCGGCCATATACATAGGGGTTTGCGTGTGCATGTGTGTCGTAGTGTGCATGAGAGTAGTAGTGGGCCATCGAATAGTAGGGGAGGGATAGAATAGCGGTCTTGTGCGGGTATCAAGTGACTGGATAATTGATAATGAGTACTCCGAGGCTGGCCAATATCGACCATCATCTCACCAAATGTGATGAGAAAGATGCAAGGAGACCAGCGATATGCTAGAGAAAGATTGCTTCGCAGAGATAGGAGCTCCGTTGTCACAGTGAGTCCTTAGACCTCAGAATCCATATGTCGTATTTATACACTTGCAGCTGCCTGCACATAGCATAACACGTTCCATCTGCCGCCATGGCATATAATCAAACTATCCACCCCTGCCCAGTCGCGCGGGAAGCACTGAGCATATACAGCTAGTTCGTCATATCGCGCGCAGGGCGGAGAGAGACCGTGCATGGCACACGGTCTCGGAGCGGCATACCAACGCCACCTAAGAGCCACTCGCCCCGGTTCCCGAGTGCGTGGGAGGCATGGCAGGGAAAGATTCATGCAACCGCATGCCCGAGGGTTCTCACTAGGGATCTGTGAGATCATCGCACACCAGATTGGCTATCGTGATCCGTCGGCGCGTGCCCTCGACGATATCAGCATCTCCGGGCTGGCGCAGCTCGTCAGCCGATGGCGAGAGGCTTCCGCATCGCCTCTGATCCGGGGTCGCACATTGAGTCGCAAAGTAGACAATAAGCGAGGCAACGTGCCTGAGGCATGTCGTTTCGTCGATGCTGCATCAGTACTCCGTGAGCCCTGGCACGGAGAAACGCCGTCCTCCTGATTGCATAGCGCTTGGCGCAGTATGCCGTCATCTTACTTTGAGCCATCAGTCTGAGTGCAACACGTCCATGATGCGGCATACCCACGAATTGATAATGATATCGCGACCATACAGAGCAGTCAGCTGGTCAATTGACGCCCCATCGATGCGAAGACTCCACAACTTGCGAACAAACAGTAGAGCATCCCGTTCCGAAGCAGGGCACGGAGATGCAAGCCGTCGGCGAAGTTGCCCACTTGTGACGCGGAACGTCGTCCATATCGCAAGCTGGCGGACCGCCCAACCGGTGTTGGCCGCGAATGTATGTCTCTCCAACGTCTTCATGCCACCACACCTGTGAGCTCCACTCATCGATAACACCGGATATCATCTTCGGGACAAGGTACAACTAGTGAATGAATATGTGAATGCATCTGTGCAATAAACTCTACGCCTCATAGAGTCCGAAGTGACTCAAAAGTCAGAAATTCTGTTCAAATTATGTATCAGTACCATTCAAGCTCATCTTCTTTGACCTGCAGACACGCCCAGCAAAGATATATGTAAGCGTGTGGCAGCGGATCAAACACGTTCACCGCACACTTGGTCCGAAATTTGAGTGAGAGCCTTTTAGAGTTCAGAACAAATGCGGCCGCGAGTAAGATACCTGCACTGCCGTTGATCGATTACCTGTGCCTGCAGGTCATCACGTGTGGAGAGACAATGACGATGTGCTCCCGTAAGCACCTGCAAGACGAACACGCGATGTATATCTACACGAGCGCAGCGGGCGACGGGTCACCGTATAAGCGGGCTGGGGGGATATGGGACATCAGCCTCGTGAACGATTGTGGCAGCAGCTCGGCGCACGGAGACGACGTATTCCCAACGGGACATACACCCAGATATCGGCCTCGGAGGTATGGTGATATCTCAGCGCCCATGATTGCAATGCGACCGTTCAGCAAGGTGTATATACGGCATATCAAATCCCTGACGTACCATAAACACCAAATACACCGAATATGGCAGCCTTTGTAGAGGAGGCTACCCGATCCAAGGCATTCGGTATTGAATGCCTGTCCAATGCGCTCGCTTCAAGTATCAGCTGGAAACCGGGAGAGAGATGCTTCTGTATTGAGAAGCGTAGCCTGACGACCCTGATAGGTGATGAGAGGCGAGGGGAAATTTGAACAGACTATTCATTCGGCGAATTGAGCATCTTGGCAACCCAGCTTCATTACGGCTAAATGCATGGACCTTATCTGCCCCCTCCCTGAGACGCCATCGAACAGAAGACGAAGAAAAGAACCCACCGGCACTCGATAGCGGCCTCCAGCTGCCTGTAACAATTCTCCGGCAATATGCGAGTCGCGGCACCCTTAGCAAAAGCGACCTCTGCAAGGATATTGACAAGCTCAGATACCTCATACGGTAAACTCGTTCATCGATACGGAAAATTTCACTTGCGAACGAACCTGTAATTGGACGTCTTCCGAACATCGTCTTGCTAAAGATTCCACGCCTCTCGAGGCGCAGGTTGTCTTTTCATGAGTCCAGCAAGATCGTTGACATTCGTTCCACTATGTGCAGTCAGGTAGACTAGTGCGATCAGAATTCAATTGTATTGGCGTCCAGCTGCAGCCAGTGAAGATCATAAGCGACAAGTCACAAGTACTAGGCTTGAGGAGATATATTCGGAAGGTCTTCCACTCGTGGGAAAATAGTCGCGCGTACGTCAGCACGACAGAACGCGACGAGCGCGTTAGCGCAGAGGTGATAGCGGCACTGCGGCGGCGGCGGCTGCAAGACCCTTCTCTAAAAATCTCTGTTCTGAGGTCTGTCTTACTGGAGAAGAAAATTGTCGTTGTCTCTCCAACAGGCGACTGAGTCGTTCCACAGAACAAAAGTATACGGTAGCTTTCAAAGCGAAAGAGAGTCAAGCAAATTCTATCCCGTTGCGTAAATATTTCCTTTTTTCTTTCTTTCCAAAAGCGATCTCACCCCAATTGACTTGCAGGCCGGCGAACAGCGAAAGCGATGGTGACGGAGATGAGCTAGGAACGGTGAGTGGTTTTGTGCGGTCCCGGAACAAAGGTGGCCGTGAGCGCGACGTCCCGTGAGCGATGGCATCTGGCATCTTGCCGTAGCTCACACACTGAAGTACTTGCCGCGTATAGCTCAGCGTTCGCTTTTGTTTGAGACATTCGCATTAGTGTCTGCTTTTCCAATGCTCCAGGAGGGGAGGCTGGTGAGGGGATTGACGGCAACAAGTATATTTCTATACGGGCATGGTTAAATGCAATGCAACCTTAGCTCCGGATAACACCACTAGCATGTTGACCACCGTTATCTCAAGCTGTGAAATACTGTGGTCAGAGCGCTACACGCCTGCCATAATATACCAGTGTATGTTGCTTCGATCTTTCCTCTACCCCCTCCGCTCGCTCTCCCCTCCTCTATAACCCTCCCCATCAAATCTCCTCGCCGATCGAGCAGCTCCTCCAGACGTGCAGGTTTTGAAGACTCTTGATTTTTGATAAGGTGTCATTAGCGCCTTTCGCCGCCAGTGCGGACTCCGTCCCAATGCTATGACTCGTACCTGATGTGCTCCCAAGATTTAACCGGAAGCTCTGTCCGACTTTTCCCTCGTCTTTCCGTATCTGACCCGTTAGCTCTTCGTTGTGCATGAAGCGCCGCCGGTGGTTCCGCTTACTCAACGGCAAAAACAGGTCCACGCCACGCTCTCCTTAACCTCCAAGACTGAGCAAGGGAGGTCCAATAAATTACGTCTCCAGCCTTCCAATCACATGCAACTCGACCTTTCATCCCGCTCCTTACCATGTGTCCGCATGTGTCTTCGACCCCACTGCCTAATCGAGAACCCTCATCGCTCCTGCTGCGGGTCCACTGGGTGGGCCGACTCCTGGGTCACTCGTTCCCTCCGGCAAGTCGTCTTGGATCTCATATATCATTCCAGCCAGCTGACGCGCAGCCGCAAGGTTGAACAATATGTCAAAAATTGTGTCTCGATGCCTGTTGTGTGGGCTCGTAGTTGCGAGTATCTTCCCCCATACCATCATTGCGGCCTACGAAAGCGCTGTCGTCATGTTCACGGTCTTCTGTGTGGACTAGCCCGCACGAGCGCACTGCACGTCGCGCCACGTCTCTCATTTCCTCATCCCTCTTGCTTCATCCCTTGCTCGTCCCTTCATCAGTGGACCATAGAGATACACTTACTGTCAGCATCGCGTGTGCTCTGCATCTGTGGGCTGCCTTAGACGTGTGCATGTTCACAATTCTCTCCGCTTCCGAACAAAATTCTGCGTCTTTATCCGCACAGAGTGGACTATGTCCCTCTACCCTGCGCTATGTGCCCACACACATACCTCGCTTTGGAATACTGCCCAGAACCGCGATTCTCCGAGGACACACGTCTCAAGATATGCGCACGTCCACACGTATAGTCAGCCTATAAAGCCTGTGGATTCGGCAGCGAGATATCCAACGACCGCATCCTCCCCCTGATATCTTTAATACCAGGTGAGCTCCCCACTCAAGTGACGACGATATCGATGCTAATAATGTAACAGGATACATCTAGCGATATCACTGTACTCGCTTGCTCATTCTCAAATGGACGCACCCCAAGAATTCCAAATCCACAACGACTATGTCAACCAGCCATTTGGATTCCGTCCTTCTTTATCCATTAATCCGAGGTGAATTCTCTTGGCCGTCTGATTTAATTGTCTTTGACCACATATGCGTTGTACACCGCAAAGATCGACAACTGATTTTCCACAAAGGATGCTGTCACAAGGACGGTGGGTACTCCTCTCGCTGCAGATTGCCGTGCTGTCTGATATTGAATTGTATCAAGATCGGCTTTCACTTCGTCGGACTCGAACTTGGTGGCATACGTGAATGATGCCCCGGCAGAGAGGGCACATGACTCGTGCGTATGGTTGTGCAGTCTTCCTGAAAACCATTGACGGTACTTCTGTAGTCCCACTTATACTTCCGTGGGGTTTTCAAACGAGCTAGGCGGGAATGGAGGATTAGGCTCATGGACCGCCTCATCCAACCGTGACGCCAATGTAGATATCAACGATTCCTCTCTTCAGTATTCACCTTACAATCCGGGCGATGCGCAAGTGGACCAGTGGTATGGTTCCACGTATGTGTGTCCTCAAGGTACCTCGGCAGCACAGTGCGTCCTATGTTGTTCACTTCCTTCGAACAAGATCGCTGATATGTTGTGTAGACAATTCTTCTCGACAAACGTAGGCGCAGGGCTTGACGCGGACTCCTGCACCTTGTGAATATCATATTCTATAACAATACCTAATATTTTACCAATCTGTTTTGTCTGTCTCTAGCTTCCTGCAAGACGGCCCGCAAGATGACCTCCCCCTCCATTGGGATTCCAAGAACGTGATGGTTTACAACGTGAACCCCGGTTTCAACAATTTCGAGCCAAGTCCCGTTTCGACCTCACTCCCCGACCTGCGCGACCAATATGGCCAAGTCCTTGGAGATTCGATCCACGTCAATGACGATTCTGCCTCGTTCGGAGTCTACTGGGAAAACTACGGCGCCGAATTCATCTCGAACACGGACGTAGAGCATCCTGGGGACTCCGAGGGCTTTGCGATTCGCGACATCGCTACTGCGACTAATGTCCGCAGTATATTTGGTCAATCAACTCAGTCTCCTGTCGCAAAAACCATATCAGTCATCCACTGTCCATGGAAAAATTGCGGATCGCCCCTTACTGACTTTTCATACGGCGCAATTTTCCACCACCTCAAAACGAACCATGCCATGGATTGCTACCAAGACGAGAGCGGGAGGACGCGGGCGGTTTGTCGGTGCAGCGATGATTGCAATGTCACAACATTATGGGGGATTAACCTCGCCAAACACCTCTGTGCTGTACATTTGAAAACATCTGCTACCTCGTGCGAGGTTTGCAAGCATAGTTTCACTCGGCGCGACTCTCTTCTTCGACACCAGAAGGACTATTGTAAGGGAAGACTAGGTAGGTTCATCAGTCGATGGCTGACAATGTGGCTGATGCTCCAGCTTGATAGCCCGATCCAGATCCTTTCAGCCACGGAGGTCCGCGAAGTCCAAGCTTTTGTATCTACGTTCGTAAAGCCTAAAGGCATGGCTTGCATTCCTTTTGTAATCCATGAAAATTTAGTGTACTTCATTTTTTTCTCATTGAATGGCACAGTTTCTGACTTGAATTCACATCACTTTTCACTGGGAAATTTCATTATTACGGGAGACGAAGTCACGTATACGACGCCAATTGGAATCAGCTGACACAGCCGTCTGCTACAGTAGTGCGCCTCGACCCTCTTGTACTACTAGTACATGCAACGCCTGCCATATATCTCCTCCTTCTGCCCTGCACCTATGTGCTGTGCAAAACTATATACGAGCCTAGCTGAACCCAAGTGAGATGTTACGCATTGATAAATAGCTGACTATGAAACCTGTGTGTTAGCCTTTCTCTGTTCATTGTGCAACTCTATGAATCCACCCGCAGCCACCCAGCAAGTGTTTTGGCGGGCTTAAAAACATCACAACAACGGAGCGCTGCGCACAGTGCTCTGTTGTTATCGTATATTTTGGTGATCCTTCCCCCAAGTACCGCTTCCGTGGCGATGGTTTGGCGGTCTATCAGCTCCGATGTCGCACGGATGGATCCCGTTGCTCTGCACGCAGGCACTCAGCCCAAAACATTGCCTTCTGAAAATCTCCGTCGTAGTATGGTCATGCCTCAAGGCTTAAATATAAATTCGTTCAGCAGACTCAAGGCCTTTCGCTCCGGACATCATTTTGTCCACCATAACGCCATATTTGAGCACGTCCTGTGCTAGCAACAGTGGTAGGATAGTTGGCTGTGGGGATATAGGATATCAGTTTGAGTACGTTTCTCGTTGTTCATCCACACGGAATGAGTATTGACGACCTTTATCACTTAAATCGACTCGCTATCCACCATTTTGACGCAGAGGAGTTATGTTCTATAGGCATCACGAAGAGATTTATGCAGTTAATTAATTTTGGTATTAGTGCCTACCAAATTCCCCTGCGGACTGGCGTAGATCGGGATGGAAGTACGATGGGCAACGTGTACTCGATTGACGTTGATGTCCTGATTAGTGACGATCCTTCGCGGATTACAACGTGTATGAGTTTTCCGGTCATTGCTCCGCGAGCCATGCTGACGCTGGTCTTGCATAGAGCGCTTCCTTCTGCTTCCTTCTGCTTCCAACTGCGTATTCTCCAAGGAGAAGAGATTTTATGGAGCAAGTGCTCGCGCCTATCCGAGTATCCTCAATGAAACCGATAAAATGTTCATCGAGCAAAATAGTAGACCAGCGTGGCAAGCTTCCTTCCCGTTTAAGATGATGATGCTTTTCAGGGCCATCGAGGTGTCTCTCACGACATTTCAAGTTGTCTCGAGTCATCATGAACTTGACCGACTGGTTTTGGTTATTTCTACATGCAAGTGCGTTACATGTGTACGATCCTGAGTGTTATTTGTAAATTTTACTTTTAGAATTGCACGCCACATACACAATTATGGAGGTGTGCTCGATACCAACGTTCCGCGCCCAGACCCTGGTAATATCCATACATGCTACGATGGAAGTCGATATACCTTCGATTCTCTATGCCTCAATATTGGAGGCCCAGTACATGTATCAGGTGCATGATGATAAATCTCTCGTCTGAACTCTAATCCCATGACGCCCTCACGTATCAGATGATCCAATGTGTGAAAATATTGACCACTGCATGGCGTCACTCCAAGATGGTGTATCGCTCCTCGAGTTTGGCATGCCCGCTCTTCGTCTTGTAGGCGTGGAACTGAATTTACCACAGACAAACCCGACATAATCTGACCCGTCTCTTAGATCGGGATATCATTTTACGGGGTGGAACACTACTCCACAAGGGCTTCTATGATTTATTATTGCTGATACTATCCACACTCTTACCCTTCCGATTTTTCTAGTGTGGAGATCTTGAACCGATTGCTAGACCAACATACGAAGATATTCACTCGCCCCAGACCAGCTGCCGCGATTCTGGCGACTCCTTTCTCACATATCGTCCCACCCCACCACTGGGAATCCGCTACTTGTGAATGATACCCCGCTCGCGTCCCTCCGGAGTGTATTTCGTCCATCTGTCATCGATTTGAAGGACGCAATGACAACGACCGGAAGGGCGATGTCGATAGCTGCCAGTCAAACTTGAAGTGTCGTAACTAAGCCCCAGACAGTGGCCACTGAACGATATGTCGAATTCCACCCCATGCCTCGTAATACATGGGAAGTATCTACGCCCGGGCTGGAACATGACCACAGCGCCCTTTGAGACGATGGAGGTCCCAAACGGAGGCGTGCTTGTCGACCACGGGCATTCCGGTGTACTATGTGCCCAGATATGTGGAAGCCTCCTGATACTGGATGGAGGACATGAACGAGCGGCGGACACCTCGGATGACCTATGTGGTCCCAAAGATGGATTGATGCCACTGACGAAGATCTGGGAGTGGAGTGTATGTGACTCGCAGCTCGACGACCCATCGCAAAGGACGCCTGCCGCCACTTTGAGAAACCATGTCGTGAACTACTTCACAAATGACGAAAGCGGCTGGCCGAGCGATGCGAAACAGCACACGGTGTACGGATAAAGGCAGTGCATAACCAAGGCGAACTACCGCACTGGCATCGTGCACCTCCACATGACGAGGGCGACGTGCGCGTGGTGTGGGTAGGTTCTCGTTAGACAGGACGTCCTTGTTCAGCACTAGGCGAAATTTGGACATTGAAGTGCCCTCAAGCACATTCGAGGGCACAACACCCACATGAGACCTTGATCGTCGGAGATGAGCCCTTGTAAAACCTGGGCTGAGCTACTCTCTAGTACGCTCTCTGCCTTTCATATAATAAGGAAGAAGTTAATTTGGGCGTTTACTAAGCTGCGCAAACGCCGTTTGACATATTAGAAAAAAGTGGCACCTCAAGGACTCAACCTTCCAATACGTTGTGTAACATGCTCTGAATGTCGACGCACGAGTCTTCCGCCGAAGATACAGCGTGTATGGAGAAAGCATCCCATCCTGATGGACACAAAAATAAAACTGTACCTGATATTAGTAGACGATACCTGTCAAGGATAGCAATGGCTTACCGATGCTATATTAATCATGGATTCAGTTCCAGATTGACCGGTCAAGGTAAGATCGTTTCACAGCTACACCTGTTACACATGCATTGACGGCGCATGACACAGGAATAGAGTGTACGCATACATGACATTCCCAGCATGTTAAACGCTGTGCAAAGTGGACCAATCTCAGGCACGTCTGTATGATGCAGTTCGCTTTGGTCTCTCGGCTTCTAACTGAAATTTCTTGATATTAGAGACAAGCCTCGGGGAACACTACTCGTTTCTGATAGCCCGCCCTGTATAGATTTACACTAAGAGTGCCGTCTTCATCACCCAACATTGTGGTTAGTGACAGCCCTTGATATTGCATAAGCGTGATGTCAACATCTATCAGTTGACTCTAAGGGCAATTTCTGACAGAAGCAAACAATTTGGGGAACATTGTGTAATCCTCGTATTGAGACATGCATGGAGTGCGCCTGGTCTGGCTTAATGCACAGAAACACATTATCGTGGATGGAACGCCTGTCAATTTGGCCATTCTTCACGCTAGGCCTAGTCTAAGGCACTGTCTACATTCGCTGTCGGTATTTGTCACATAAACAGAGGACTCGGCATCAGTCCACAGTGCACCGAAGTGAAAGTGGGGTGGTCTCTTCTATACGTACGTGCGTCTCCATGATAGAATGCTATCTGATTATCTGCGCTGATGAGCACAGTTGGTCGCCTTCAGTCAGATGCTTCCCTGGCAGCGGCGATAAAGTACTGGCAGCACGCCATAACGCGCTGGAAGCGCTCATAAAAGAAACAGAGATCCAGAGGTGGGTACTGTCTGCGGAAATAGTTCATAACTTACCAGCGAGCCGCGAGTGCACTCCTTGATACACAGAGTTGCTTAATATCAGAAGTTCCGCAGACGTGCGAGATACACGAGGCAGCCAAACAGGATTACAGCGTGATCAAGAGCGTCTTTCGGCCACATATGGCGAACGTTGTATTCACTTGCAGCAGGAGTATTAGGCAGTTCGTCGTTTGATACGCGAGCATCTACCGGAAACCATATGAATCACTATGCCGCATAAGCTTTCGCATAGCATGCGGAGATGTAACATGTCAAAATGAATCAGCTGCCACGAGCTGAAGAGAGAAAATCGAAGTGGAGGCTGCCGCGACGCATAAGCGCCAAACTGACCGCGGTCGGGACTTGCCGAGCAATAGGTGTTGGCCAAACGAGGTTGGAGTTGAACTCGAACGTGGGAGATAATAATTTACTTACTTATCCGCGTAGCTGGCCAAACAACAGCCTAACCTGCTATTCTATTTCGAGGGCACAATTTTCACCCCTCGCCCATACGGTCCAGGTATCCGCAAAGCGACTATTCCTAGTAGCATGCTATCAGCAATCCTGCCAAAGTATCATCTCGTCAGCCATGGACCACTCATTTTTATGAGCAGATTTTGTTGGCGTCGAATGGCGACGCTCTATCAATCAAGAATATTCGCTATCGCACTCACGACGCTCCCACGAGAAATTGAAATAGTTCCATGTGAACATGAGCAACGAGCTGACACATAGGTATGGAGAGATGGAGAGTGGTTTATGTGTTCCAGTAACACCCGCTCGGATCTGCACCTCATGACCGCCGTTTCATACTTTTCCTCTTGCTGATTCCATTCGACGTTGAAGCCAAGAAGAATCCACGATCCCCTTCAGGGAAATACGAAATGGACTGTATTCAGTTCCGAAGAGGCCAAGATGTGACACAGGAAACTGATACATCCTCTTACTTCTGTCCCACTTCCGTTCCCTACACGCAGCTTCCCCATCCTTATCTCCACTCCCTTCCCTACCTCCACTACAGAGCGTCTCAGCGGCTGCTTATGATTTACTCCCTTTCCACGTTACCACGACGACTCCTCGGCTAGCCGTAACGTTCGGGCATATAGTTCGGGCCCGATGTGCATACTCCACTCCATCATATTGATCTGAGTACTCAGAAAATTCTGCAAGCATCCACAGATTCTTGCTTGACAGGGGGCCACGACGATCGTTATCTGCCTAGCTCTCGCCTTCGACCCGAGCTGTATATGCTAGAACGCGGGAAGGCTCCTACCGTGCTCTACATGAGCTGCCGCGTGGATGACTTGAGCAGGAACGCTGCAACTCTAGTTCTACCCCGGAAAAAGAGACTCGTTTCTGCCACGGTCGCACAGACGACCCTGGCCATTTCACTCATCTCCGCAGAGGACTGGGACAACCACTCGTATGTGCTTCGAAGTCTACAAAATTTAATTTACTTATGCACCCCGACGATCCGCGTTCCTGTTCGACTACACTGCCCCGTTCGTTCATTCTGGCCATCCCGCACGGGACGACGCACAGTGCGCGCAAGCTCCTCGTGTCGTGCATGAATCATCCATCGCCGCCGGCCTTCAGATCGCGTCTGCTGCGGACAGCTTCATCATGATAAAATCAGCGCCCGCGTTCGCACCTCTCCGGACTCTGCGACATCATGCGCGCTTCATGGGAGCAGAGAATCCTCGTTACGGGCCCTCTCCTAGACAGTGCACCATTGTCAAACTTGCCGCCGGAGATTCTCAGCACTCAGTACTCAGTAGTGGCGCCTGGGTGCATGTCAGTTTCGGTCGATTGTCCGCATGTGTTTCTGCAAAAATATATACGTCTGACTCTATACGGCAGCGTTCGATACATTCCACTCCGTGAATGGGGGGCGGGTGAGCGAGCGCGTAGCCGTGACATCGACTCGGAACACCCGAAAATACGGGCGTACGCAGCAGGCCCGGTCGGACATGTGGCACTGCGCTCCATGGACAGCGAATTCGACGGGTGTTGCGCGTGCACGTCGCTGTTCGAATGCCAGATACAACCCCAAGTGGCGCGCTCCGAGCGTGCGCAACTGTTTTTGCTATCTGTGGGGCAGGTGCACCCTTCCGCTTGGTCGGAAGCAAAGGGCAGTGGCAGTTGAGCGGGACATTTGTCGGATCTGTCGGATCTGGCGCAGCCAAGTGAACGGCGGACGTGTTAGTAAAAAGCATACAGTTATACAAGCTTACAGAGGGCGATGGAACACCTAACGGAGCGGTGTGGGATCTGCGTTCCAGCATTTTCGGGGCCCCACCCCCCCGGACATACACAATACATGACAAACGCCCGATGCATGATGACGCTCCACGCCCGCATCCTACGTCCGCCCTGCCTCGGACTCACGTGCTCACCTCCGGACATCTTCGTGGAGAAATAGGCCAGTGATAAATCTCAGTGGAAGGTGACATTAATTAAATCAATAAACTGGGCCACTCAATGGATTGCCTTGAAAACGCGCGAAGAAAGCTGAATTATGTAATTCGTGCCAATTCGGTCTATCTCAGTTTTTCTCATCGAATGACACAGTTTCTCGTCTTCATTCATATCGATTCTCACCGGGGATAAGTATCGGCCACACACGCCTGATTCGAACGCCCGGATGGAAAATCTACGTTCGCCCGAGTAGGTGCTAGTGCCATCACAGCACCGCTCGTACTTCATCCCAGACGAGGCAGGAGAGAACGCGAGGTGAGGAATACGATGCCCCATAGGGCGATTCCGGCGCACGTTCATGATGCGCCGTAGTTTGTCGTCAATGATATGTGGTCAGCGGAGCTGATGCATCATGAGTAACGCAAGGGGAATGAAGCTTCGATTCGTGGGAGTTATAGGCAAGACGATGGTGGAGGAATATTCGACCACTATTTCAGGGAGGCGACGAGAGCGGCGACTAGAGCAAAGGAGCCTTGTCGAGATGAGGAATGCGCAGGAGCAGCAACTTCAAGCTCTCCGGCGGAAACCACGTGGCACAGGTCGAGCATCGCGGTGAAATTCGAGCGGAAAATGCGAAACACGATCGAAATACGGCCGCATGCTGAGTCAATACGCACAAACATACACAAATACACGCCACTGTCTGTCGGGTAATGCAAGTCCCGGCGGCCTCTGCGATCTCCTTGTATCTATTCGTCCCCTTCTGCCCTAACACGTGTTCCGAGTACAGCACAGGACACTGGGGACTGTGCGTGCGTGGAAATTCGAATATCTAGCTGGAACCTCGAAGCCCTCCTGTATATTCCGTGATGCGCCACTGAAATCAGGTAGACTGTAGACAACAGGTGGACGCTTATTCGCTTCCGCTTCATGCTGCGATCCTCTCCGTCACCCACCGCCCAACTCTCACGGATCGTTGAGCGCAATGCGATGATCTCGTCCGCCACTGCGAATCATCGACCTCTGGACGAAGGATAATCATTGGTCGGAGGTGTCCATAACTGCATTCCATGCGGCCAAGAAGAGGAGTAGCTTCTAGCGGTCGAATGAGCATACTTTAGTGTGACCTTGAGGGACTGCGCTCTAGGGTCGCAGGGCCTTGCGTTATTCGGGTCAGTGAATAACAAGGAGCTCCTTTACTATCATCTTACGGCGACCACATCATGAATTGGCGGCAACCAAGGCTCGCTGGGGCTTCTGGAGCAATTATCCGCCCGGCACCGCCTGATCGGAGATACGGGGTCAATGAAGAGCTCGGATCGGCCGAGGTGCACATGAACGGTCTGCTCGTTCCTCTCGATCCCCTCGTCCGCCTGCACGTGCTTTGCGCAGAACCCATCGCCACGGACTCAATAGTCGCAGCTCAGATCTGGGGCTGCGACAAGTAGATCTCACCGACACTCCGCGGCCAGCCTAGCGTTTCTGTCGTGCTGCTGCGAAGACCTCATGTCCTGTAAGTCGTACTTCTATTTCCCATCTCCAAGAAATCTCCTCTCGCCCGTGGCTCTTAAATCTGCGCCATTCTCTCCTCATCCTCGCATCCAAATCCCGCACATCCCTCCCCGTCTATTCACCCCTCACCCCATCCATCGACATGGACCACCTGTCCAACGCGTAAGTCCACAACCTCTTCCCTCTCCACCTTCACCGCTGACATATTCTCTACTTCCTCAGAAACATGTCCTCGATAGCATATTCCTATGACGCGGCACATTT